CTGGAATGTTGCTTTTGGCAAAAGAGTAAAATTGCCAGACGACTGAGCTTTCTAATCAAACAATGTCAGTAAATAACTTCCTGAATGAAAATATTTGCTTTAATACAAATGGTTCCAGTTGCCTATTATCCAGTGAAATGTATAAATATAATTATATGATACTTGGCATCCACCTTCTCTTGTTTGAAAACACCTATCCAGGCTACTTTTGAGCTGTAACGTTGTCTTCAGACAAAAGCACTTCAGTGTGTGGGCATCTCACAGGAAGCAGGGGAAATCCAAGAGCAGACTGCAACAGTTCCCCATTGCTGCCCTTAGTCCTTGTGCATCTTGGTGCAAAGCAAAATTAGATTCTGATCCTACATCAGTCACTTGAGAAAGGCTTGAACCTCATAAATTAACGAAACCCTGTCCCATTCAACTTTTCTGACTAGCTGTGTTCAAAATGATGCCATTATCACTAGTGTTTTGAAGCTGTCTGCTTTACCTTCATGTTATCCCTTTCCTTTCAATGCAATAAAACACTCAGATAAATGGGGATTTGATATGACATCTAAGTATTTTATTTCTTATGATGACTTTAAGAGAAGCTCTGGATGATATGTTGAAACCCCCAAGCTATCTGGAGGAGAGAAATTAATACTGCTGCTCCTATGGCAGCCTCTTTGGTTCCACTTTGTAGGATAGGTGGAGACCTCTGGTCAGTAATTTTAAAAGATTTTTTTTTTTAAACCCATAAATATTACAGATAAACGCCATCATCACTTCTGGAAATAAATGCTATGCATTGTTATCATAATGACAATACTTTAAAAGAAATATAAAAGATTCTGTCCTTCAGATTAACCTTCTGGCTGTAATTCTTTTCACATCACATAAACAGCCATCAGAAGATTCATGTGCTAATGATCTACAGGAAACTAAACTCTTATGAAATGTTAGAAGATGAATTTGCATATAATAAATAAAATTATAAAAAAATTTGCAAATATGCTGCTGCCTAGTAAAATATTCGTAGACCTTAGACTTCATTTATTATATATTGGTAATTAACGTGCTTCATTACTGTGAGGGCCGGTAAATAACAGTACCAAAATGGGAATATTAATCTCATCTTTTGTTAAATGGTTATGGCAAATTATAAAGACTAAGAAAGTTGCGTGTACACAAATTGTCATTACAGGAGCTACTCACAGTACTGGAAAGGACGTGTATAGTACCAGGATGACGAAACACAGAAATCTCCTTGTACGCTTGAGGCTCATTAAGAATTATGCTGAAAATAAAGAATTTTATCTCAATGTCAGCAATAAGGCTTTTTTCTGTAAGGTACAATACTTCATGGACAAAGTGTGTCATTAGCATTCCGAGCAGCCCAGAATTGTCTTGGGCTAAGTAATATAATGTGAGTGCCCTATTCAGATGTGAGACCCAGCTCAGAGCTGTTTGGAAAAGGTGCTGGATGTTCTCCAGCACCTCTCAGTGCACACACTTGCCCTGACATTCTCAGACAAGTTGCTGAAATGAAAGTTAATGCCACAGACGACGAGCTTGACGAGCTACCTGAATCCCAGATGAAATTTCCTCAGCTTCACCGGGGTGGGAGAGGGCAAGATAGGGGTCCTTTCAGGTTTCTGATCTGGGATTCACCCCCAGGGCCTTTTAAATGACAAACTGGGTTACCTTACCCTGCTCAAGGACTGTAGGTACTCGCAAAACAGGGTGGGCGACTTAAGCAGCTAATTGCAAATATTCACTCCCTTTTGTGGGCCCAGGATTAACACTGCAGACAGCAGCAGGGCCAGATGCCAAGCGCAGCAATTAAACCAACCTCCCGGAGTGAAGCCAGAGTCGCTGAAAATATGCCTCAGTTGCACTCGTAAAGCCTGATGGGGCACCTGGATTATTTCCTCCTCTACCTCCTGCACTTCTTCAAACACCCGCATTTGCACGATATTCCCTTTAGACTGGTTATCTTATTAGGGAATAAGAAATTCATGATGCAGAATGACAGCTCTGACTATCCCTTACCATGGAAAATATTGCTATTTAATATTTCAAACATTTAGTGAATATAGAGGCTTGCTTCTTTTTTTCCCCTTCAGGTTTTTCCAGAGCAAATATCATAACTCTCATGTATGCTTAGATGTGCTCAAATAAATCAGTTGATTTACAATGCTCTTTAATCTGTTCCTTACTTTTACGGATTAGAATAAGACCTGATCTTGTGAATCAAAGACTGAGGACACCAATGTTTGCAGCAATTTATGTGCCACCTGAGAAAATGGCAAGGATCTGCTTAATCCAGCCTATGAGTGATACCTATATAAATTTGTTTGCTGGCTTCTCTGAGAAAGCGAAATCACCTTGTTCTACTCTTTCAGGAACCAAGGAAGTTGTGGTTGATGTAGATGACAATGGAGTAATTTCCTTGAACTTTGAATGTGATCAGATGTCTCCACACTCTAAGTTTGTTTGGTCCAAGGATTATGAACCAATTGAGGATGACTCTCGACTGAGCATTGATACCAAAGGCGGAAAGTAAGAACCCTCGGTGGCAGCAATAGTCTCATGTTTGAGAGACCTAGGCTGGTCACAGAAACCCATCCTTTTGGATGCATGACCTCAGTAAGAGTTATATCTGCCTCTGTTTCTGGAAGGCCATTTAGAAATTGTAGCTCGCACAGAATGAGTCAGGCCTTCTGCTTAAGCAATTTAGTTACGTTTAGGCATAGGGAGAGAAAATATGTGCTCTGTCATAACCTGTCAATCAAGGCAAATTATTATTGTTTTTATTATTATTATTATTCCCATTGTTATTATTTTAAATCTCCAAAGGTTAAAATTATCTGTCTGCTTGCAAAATACTTTTGACATGTAACACTGTTGCAATCTTCGAAGGTGCTGGAGTAAGCAGGACTCTCTTCTGACAGCGTCACCGTGGCCTGATTTGGTAACTTCCGTAATGCTGTACAAGCCTACTCTGTTTCTTCAGGCTTTTAACAGAGAGGAAGAAATCACAAATGCACAGGTTCAGCCTCTGAACTGCCTACATGCTCTTCTAGTTCTAGAAACCACACAGAAAGAAGCGGTGGCACACCACACTCTTGGTGTTGCATGAAAGTTGAATCAGCCTGTACTTACAGTATCCTTTCACGCTTATCAAAGACTCGATGACATGTTTTTAAGCATGCTTGAGCTAGCAAGAGTTGCATCATCTCCATTTGTACCACACATGGTAGGACCTACCCTGGTTTCTACTGGCCAGAGCCCTGTATTGGCCTGTTCAGTCAGAGCAAGAGCTAATACAAGACTATATTCATCTGGTGTTAGAGACATAAAGGAGGGGTTTGGTTGAGACTGACCTCACCGATTTTTTTTTTTTTTCCTAAAGGTCAAAAGCTACCTTTAAGGATCTTGGAGAAGATGATTTGGGAATTTACTCTTGTGTTGTTACAGACACTGATGGAGTTTCATCAAGCTACACAATTGATGAGGAAGGTAGACATAATATCTATTCAGCATGCCTGTTTCACTTTCACATCTGTTTTTCCCTGCTGCTGTGTCTCTCAAATGTATAAGGCATGCACACCTTACATTATTTCTGTTATGTCTTTCACAGAAATGAAACGCCTGCTTGCTCTGAGCCATGAACACAAGTTCCCAAGTAAGTGAATCAAACGTGTCTGTAGGGGAGAGTTTTGCATGCAGTGGGGTATCACAAAGCTCCCGCCACCCTCAGGTAGGGAAGTCCCCACAGTAATTTCCAGTGAAAGTGGTTTTGAATTGAAAATCTAAGATTCCTTTTTTTTCCCCCTCTTTCTTCCAGTACATTTGTGTATTACTGCTGTTCTTCCTGATCTGTTACAGGCTACCAGTCTAGGCATATAATAAGTCTGTATAACAGATGGAAAATGAGTATCCCATCAGCTTTGTTTCTTCTGCAGAACAGCCTTTTATACTTACTCAGCATACCTAATCTGATTTGAAAACCGCCATTTGAAAAATTCTCTAACTCCAGCTGCAGTTAGCATAAGTTAATTTAAGGTTAACAAAGCAGGCAATTGTAGTCAGTTCAGCTGTAATGACCTATATACACAGAATTTTCCTGCT